ATAACGTGAAAATAAAAAAAAGGAATAAAGGGAGGAAATACTATGACAGGCAAAGTACATGGTAACTGAGTTTTGTACCTTCATACTAGTTGGAGAACAAACGGTGCACAATAAGAGAGTTTTGTTTGTTGATTTATGGAAAGCCAAGAAAATGCAAAACCAGTATGGAAGTTTGCGCCGTTAGGAAGTTGCTATATTATATATTGTTTAAGTTTACCATAATCACAATAAAATTAATACAAACGTCCTAAGTACCTACGATTTTTGCATTTCTGTCGCTAGATTAAAAAATTGTGGACATTTGAATAATTAAGTGAAGTGTTTATTAATCCCACGTGGAAATGACATCTGTCATTTCTTTTATTTCGTTCAATTTGCCATGGTCGTTTCTTGTAATTTACTCAAAAAAAAAAAAAAAAAAGAACTAGAGCAAAATAAATTTATATAAAATGGTACGAAATTCCTTGAAAAGGAAACCGAGTGCCGTAATAAACTTATAATGACAAGATTGGTCAGTTCTTAATACTCGTATAATAATAATGCCCAAGTAGGTAGCGAGTCGTGAAATCGAAGTTAAGGGTAGTATATTAGAGTTTCCTAGAACCATAAAACTAAACTGTCCTAGTAGGAACGGCCATTACGTTAATTAAGAAAAAGAAAGCAGTTTGCTTACCATTCGAGATAAGTACGTAGGTCGTACAATTCAAAAAAAAAAAAAAGCAAAGAATCTTTCGAGGGTTGGAAAATAATCGCGAACAAAAAGGACGTGACGTTTTTTAAATCCTTCACTGGTTAAGTAGGAAAAAAAATCGTAGCGTCGTGAAAAAAAAATCTTAAGAGCCTAACGTGCCCGTTTCACTGTTTACAATTTTTATTATTTTTCTTTTTCTTTCAATTCTCATTTTCCTTCCTCCTCGTCGCTATCAAATACTTTACTTGCTTACTAATTGGATCGACGTCAAATGCGTTTACTCCTAAATTGGATTGCGGTCTTATCGATAAGAAAGCTGACCAAGATAATCTCTAATCTAATAAATTGCTCTAAATTAACTTCGTCTTTAATATAAACGAATCGGAGGGTCATTGGGTTACGTTACGGATGGGGGTTGAGATTGAAGAAAATCTCCTGCTGTTATACGTATTTGAATGAACCATTCTTGTGTTGGTACCGATGTCATTAAACTCCCTGAGGGAGTTTAACGATCGATTCCTCTCGGACTTCCAGTTTCGTCTGTAATTAGTCACATTGCTTATACCAATATCAATATTAATTGAAAAAAGTACTAAGGGTTCTCCGTTTACAAAAGTTGAGCGGCACTTTGTGTATTCGCCAACACGAGCGCGGATTAATGTTATTCAACCCTTTAAGGTCTGAAGTATAAGGAGAGAACAGGTGTAAAAAAATTTGTCATTAATTTGCTCGACGGAGTAAGGGGATGATAAAAAATGATTGACGTTACAGAATTATTTGAGGTTATGGTACATTGAGTTAGGCGTTATCGTACAAGCGCTATAATGTATATGTATATGATACGCGGGATATTGTGTGATAACGTACGTTAGAGCGTTGGCGTGGCTCTTTTGTTGGAAGATTAACGACATGCGTAATCTCGGCTCGTTAATATTCAATTCTGACGTATATTACCAAGGCTTTATAAGACGCGACGGTCGATCGCCTTTAAATTATTTAATGGACGCCGGAAGTCATCTTTTTTAAATACTTTGGAAGTACTTGTACGACACACCGACCTTAAGGTCCTATTGAAGATTTTCGAGGGACTGAGAATCGTAGTGGTTGGTAATGCCAAGTTGAGGATTTCGCCACGAGAGGGCTACGAGTCGCTATATTTATTGCCTGAAAGATTCTTTGGGCGAATATTCAACGAATTTCTTCGTTCCCTTGCGTTTCCGGTTGCGGAACTCAGTTATTTGAAAATCGATTCGGCGTTTTCAGTCGTCGAATTTAGTTTCACCTAATATACGCGAAACTCGTATAGGTTATGTAACTACGTGAAAATGGTTCCCATCGAATAATCAAATGCCACTAAGTATTTTGATTGATTCGGGTCAAAACGCGCGTACAGTTTAGCCATTAGATTTTCAAAGATTTCGATTATACACCGTGAGCCTAGACAATTTCGTTATTTCTTGCTGGATCGATATTCAAATATATTCACAACACGTAGAATATCTTTGAGACGTACTTTAACGTGATAGCCTAATGACGTTTATTTCTTGACGTCAGCATACAAGTTGTATAAGTTACACGTGCGATCAGGGAAAAATCGTGGAAAATATTCCTCTGACAGAAAGATGGTACAATTCGATCGGGTCAATTTAAAAGTGTCGTAATGACCGACACTGGCCAATCCCCTTGCACATTCGTAACCTCACGTAGAAAGGTTAACAAGCGGGCTATGAATTACGAAGGGGCCGGAATAGGACGTCTCAGTGCTCAGTCTGCAGGTATAAAAAACGAAGAGAGAGGACCATCACGTAGGCAATAATTTCTTGTCGATCTGATCGTTAACGTGCACGTGACGTTAGCTTTTTTCTCTTAATAAATTCTAGGCCTGGGAGCGATTAGGTGTCTTCTTTTCTACGCTATTTTATCATCCTATATTATCAGTCGAATATCAGTGTATTCGGTTTATCCTAAATTTAGAGTTCCTGCAGGATATATCGGTATAGAAGGATACGAGTAAATTATAATTTCGAATATATATTTTCTTTACTAAAATACATATTTACTGGGCGAGCAATGTATTCGGGCGATGGAGTTTATTCATGCAATTTTCACGTAATTTAATTTACTCACGTTGGACATATTGAACTGTGTATTTGGTATTACGTAATGGGTCCAGTCACCAGATGAAACGTGCCTCTGGGATGGGTTCTTGGGACAAGTGAAGCCTCGTCTAGGAACATATTTTTAATAATTAATTTAGAACAAATAATATCGCGGGGAATATATATCACGTTTGGCCTTTGATAAATTGTACATATGTAAGTATGTATGGTGACGTATAATACATTTTTATCGATGACGTTTCCGATACATAGGCTTTTATTCTCGAAGCTATTGTAAACGTGCACGGATCATCGATCGTCCGCTTTTCCATGATGCGATTGGTTGTGTACGTTTTTGTAAGTGGCGATCGAGTGACGAGAGGAACCAATTCAGAAATTAAAATAGCTTGAATTAATTACAACCCTTATCGACATCGATTACAGTACTCGTATCGATAAATTAATTTTATCCTGTTATCGCCGATAACAATTATTTTGATAAAGTGATAGTGGTGACATTAGACTAGCCAGGTACATGGTAACAAGTCGCTTATCGCTACGTAGAAATTGTGAGAACGTCCTGCAGCCGCATCGATCCTCACGCGAACGATCGATTTCACGAAGGTCGATTGCAACACAAAACAAACTTAACAGTACGAAGCCTTGAAGTTCAGCGTTAAAAATCTATATGCACCGACTATACTCAATTCCTTAAGGTGCTTCTTTTTCTTTTTTCGAGTCTGGGTCAACTTCCTTTCGCCACTCGTCTATCCTCGTTCTCTGCTGACGCGAGAGCCGTGCTCCAGAGCTTTTTCAAATATTTGTTCAAACTCGAGCGATCCTTGAAAGAGAGCAGGGATAAAAAAATAAGTTTCGACGAATCCGACGGCAACGCCGCTCCCGGCGAAATTCTGTAGCTCGTACTGCCTCGACGATTCCTGAAAGCAGAAAGTCCTTTGCGCGCTGGGTTCTAATCGGCAAACAGAAATCTTGAAATCCTCGCGATTCCTTGCTAACGAAGTTTAATCGCGGCCTCGAATCTTCTCTTGTGCTTAAGCCGAGTTTCTAGAGCCAGTTGTATTTTATACTTGCCGCGGTCAGTCTTTTGAGAAGATTATCTTTAGCCAGCATTTAAATCGATCTTTCCTCGTGTAAGCTCTCTCATTCCCTCTAAGCATCTTTTCATTTTTCAGTGTTACCAACACGTACCCTGTAGAGGCACGAGTATACGTGGGTATCATTCTTACTTTTTTTCCCGTATATATGTAACTGTACTGCTATAAGCCTGGGCTAGTAATTAGATCTTTGAGGGTAGATTTTTGTAGGAGTTTCGGAACGGCCAAGACTAACCACCGAAATTCTCTTGAGAAATTGGCCAGGTTTTATTCCTCGGGGGATGTTACCCTTCGTAGTGGAAGAAGTGCTGCTTCGTGAATTACGTAACCTAGTCCCTAGTCCGAAAGGGCGGAATTGGAACTTTTTTTTCATCTCGACCGAGCCTCCTAATTCGCATTATTAATACCGGTTGGATTCGCCACATAATGTAAACGTGATTTTGCGTTCGAATTTAGAGTAAGTCATTGTTCATCCCTTTGATACCCTTCTTTTGCCTTTATTCTATTCCTTTAATTCCTCAGTCAATAAAGTTTGACGATTTGCACCAATTTCCCGGCTACATCGAAACCTTGATTGATTGATAGGAATCTGACAAGCTTGCAGACCATTAACCCGATTGTTAATAGTCCCCCTGTAACTGGGTAATATAAAAAGCATCAGGCCAGATGGAGCACTCTTATTAAGAGAGCAAATTGATTTTTTTTTTATATTTTCGTATTAAAAACAAGGACCTAATTTTTTGTGCGATTACCGAAACACATCTCATTTGTCTTTATAAGCCTTTATACTTTTTTTACACGCGATATATCGCACCCTCGTATTAAACTTACGGCCTTTGTAGTTATACGAAGTATGTAACATATCTAGCTGACTATATATATATATATATATATTGCATATATATATATATTGCATATATATTGCACAACAATGTTTCATCCTTCTTTGTATACAAATTCTCGACCGGCTTGTTCCTTTGGTCGGAATTTCACTTTGACTAAAGAAACATGCAATGTCCTTAGATATTTCGAAAAATGTCATTATCAGTCAGAGAAACAGTTTAATGAAAAGAAACCCTTTTGTCTATGCTATAGATAATCCAAAGTCAAACGACAGTGGCGCCGCGGAATCTAAGGGAAGCACGAAGGAAAGTGGACAGAAGCAACTAGAGCCTGAAAAGGATATCGAGAAGGGCAAAGACGAGGCAGCGACCAGAATACAAGCAGCGTTTCGGGGCCACCACACCAGGAAGAGTATGAAAGAAACGGAAGTGTCGACAAAGCAGACGGAGGCTACAGCAGACCAGGAACCAACGAAGGAGCAACTCCAGGAGGAATTCCGTTCCGACGACAAGGGTGAGTTCACGTATTTATTATGCTCTCGGTATGTCAGGACGGCTAATCGGGAAAAAGAGAGTTCATTTGTCCCGTTCAAATAGACATGCCAGAATATTGTTACTCTACGGACCATTGCATACAGATATACGTATACAATAAAATTGTAGATGCTCCAAATATTTTGTCAAACTGCTCGTGTCTTTTCGTCCCTTCGCGAAACCGTTGTACGTTACGCTTGCTGTACTTGCGTCGAAAACTTTACGACTTCCTTAGTTTGTACTGCTTTCTACGGACTTTTAATGTAGATACAATATATTCGAATCGCGGTGACTATACGATTTTACTGGTCTTTTCTTCTCTTATAACGGAACCTGAATTTTCTTGATGATTTAAATAACGGACAGTCTTACCCGTCTTACGAGCCATATATTCTTTCAACGAGCTGCTATTACATTTTCGAAAACTATGTTACAACTCTATGTTACAACTGTATGTATATGAGCTGTTTATTTCGAAAGTGGCCTGAGTCCATTCATCGATTGTTTTTTATTGACTGCAGTAACGTGTACAACTTGAAGTTAGCTGTCATCGACAACATTGTATCTCAATTTAACTATAAATGGACTTGGGTCACTTTCCAAATAAATGGCTCATATATGTAGAATATGTTTTTGATGTGTCATACCCGCGTTATGGAAACTTCTCATTTGCTAGTATACGAAACTTTCAGGGAAAATGGATTATATGGGTAGAATTATTCTAACGCGTGCGCACACGCACAGTTAGTGTAATCTACTGGTATCATTTTGGATAATGGTTTTCGCGTATTTGTCTTCTATGGACAAATTGGGATGAATTTTTGACATTATTTTTATGGTGTTGGTATTTGCTGTTGTGCGCGAAGTTACGTTGTTACTCGCGATTCGTGTCACCAGTGTCTCTCTCTTTCTCTCTTTCTTTCACATTAAGATATCCATAACTCTGTTTCTCTTGAACTCGCGTCAAATATGGAAAAGTCGAAAATATTTAAGAATTCTCTCATTTCCGAACGTTCCGTGAAATTGGCAATTTGCCAAATGCATATCGGAGAGCGGTTAGCATTTAGCAGTAAAATATTTTGAAATTACGCTAAACGAAAGCGACCCTATGACAGCTGTCAATTTATAATCTTGCTTCGGACAGTCCTGCAGATTGCAGTTTATATTTATTTGCCATTCGCGTGATGCTGTTTTCCCGAAAGCCTACACACGTATGTACATATATATAACGTGGTTTGTTATTTTCGATCTTAATTTCCCAATGGATTGGCACGTGGGACGTCGCTTCATTTACGATAACCAATACAGCACTGGTAGAAGAAAAGAAAAGTTTTTGAAAATAGGACTAAACATTACCGCACGAACCGTTCGTTCCGCTTGAAAATTAAACTTTTTACATCAACTCAAAATTTTATCTTCGAACTCGACGAAAACTTTCAGTCGAGTCTTTTCACGACGACCGTCGAAGGGTTTTTGATTTTATCATGACAAACAAAAAAAGTACCCTTTGACAACTTGACGGATCCTCGTTTCTCCTTAATCTTTTTTTTCCCCTTTTTTCCCCCATAAAGTAGGGAGACAATGTGTAAAACCCTCGTCACTGTTGGAACAAACTGTTCGGATCAATTTCTCTTCGCGCAACTTCTCTCTGCTGGAAAAATGGCCGCGACGAGAGTCGCCGTGTTCTGAAATCAGAAAATTTCAGACGCGACCAGCCCAAACGCAATGTATGTACGGTAGTCCGCGTTCATACGTCCTACAGTTTTCCGAGATTCGATGAAGTGCAAATGCGAGAAGCCCAATAATATCGACGGATACATTTGACAAATATATTTTACCCGAAAACGCCGTTAGACGGCAGACGTCGCGGAAATGAAATGAATCGTTGGGCGTCGGGTTCTCGCGCGGCTGTGAGGGAGGAAAACGTAGAGTGACGCGCGTAAGGGGAGAGAAAAAGTGAAGAAAGGAAGAGGGGAACAAAAAATGCGAATCAACCCCAGCGAATATTTAATACTCAATAGTCCATAATTAAATATCGATCTTGCCGTGTATCTTTTATCGTCGGAAATATATATATTTTTAAACCAGCCCCTTACCCTTCCTTCAGTTCTCTCCACGTGCACAACGTAATCGCTATCATTCTCTCCCGGATGCCGTCATTGGCGGAACGAAGCGCCGCGAACTTAAAATTTATGCAGATCACTATCGCACCGGTGGAAACTCAGTCGAACGAGCCAAGGGAATTTCACGAAGGACGTCTCGGCTGGCGTTTCCGGGAGTCGCGCGATGCCAAAAAGACATTCTCTTGCCTTTTCGCTTCTTAAAGAGACGCATTGTGTTTGTCTGTGCTGCAGAACTCTGCGACGCAGCGACGAAGATCCAGGCGTCGTTCCGGGGCCACATGTCGAGAAAAGAGCAAGCGGCTTCGACGGTGGTCAAGTCGGCCGAGGATCTCGTTGTGATGGCAACAGGAAAGATCGAAGAAAAGGTGAGTCCCTTGGCACCCATGTAAATGTATAATAGCGCATTTAATGCTCAGCAGCTAAGCCTACGTGAGAATCAATGTTACACGCCGGGGATACCACCCCCCGAGGCTTTCACCTTTTTGGCATACCTCGTTATCAGACCCGTCTATTGAATTCAGGGCCATCAGTTAAGCTTCCAGCCGCCTGGTTCACGATGCTAGATTGACTGACGTTTAAGCGAACTGTAATATATGGATCCTTGTAAACCTGACACTAGGGGGCTTTCATTGCACGCAAGGCACAAAGTTATTCCGATCCTATGGTAGGCGAACCAGCCAAGCTAGTCAGCCAGTAAACGTTGGTCAGCAGGAAGGAATTGGTCGAGTCGCTACCTTGAAAAGGGCAGGACGAGCTGTTAATAAGGTCTTGCGGTACTACACTTCCCCCTTCCCCTCTCCCCCTCCCCCCCTTTCCCCACCACGTACATTACTCGCAGTCCCGAACTTTCCAAAGGGTGAGATTCACTTGAGCCTCACTAGAGGACTCACGGGGGAAATACCAACGTGTACCCTCTTTATCTTTCCTGGATCCAAAAGGCTTGATTTCTTAACCCAAGAAAATATTTACTCGTGATAATTGAAAAGGGTTTTCTTTTAGTACTTATACAAGGTGATCTTCTCCTCCTACCACTTGTGCAGTCTATATCTACTATCTCTCTTGTCTCCCTCAACTCACCCGGTATATTTGTTTGAAGACGAAACTAAGTCGAAGACAATGGTTAACTTCACTTTCCCTTAAATCCAAATGAAGGGCTCCTTCTCCTATTCTCATCGGTCTTATAGACTCTTCGCTCTTAGTACTGTTTCCCTACTTTACATCGTGCTCGTTTCTCTAAGCCCGAGAAAATGAGCCTCGGTATAAACAGGGACGCATAATACACGTCGTACAACAAAAGGATATAGCTCTGTGCCTTATTTCACCGCATTCGCCCCGAAGCCATTTACGTTGCAGCGTATGGTATTTCTCTTGAAGTCGGTATATACGTACCTTGCCTGTACTCCAGCCCGTCGTATCTCGCGCGTAGAAGCTAAAAGCCAGACACACTGGGAATTGCCAGGAAATGAGAAAAAAAAAACCTGGGCACGTTGACTTTCTTTTTTTCTGTTTGTCCAGGAAATTCGTATGTCATTCTGGAAAGTTTGTCAGCTGCCACAGTCAGCTACAACGAGTATACGTCACAATTTAGGCTTGAATAATTATCATTGACTGGGTTCCCAGCGGTTGTGCATTATGTGTGGATTATCGGGATTAGTCGTTAACCTGTTAGGATTAATGGGTCGATTCCGATAGGTTGAATGTGTTCTGCCAATATTCCCATTACACAGCGTTACCCGTTAATACACTTGGGTGTAGTGCGCGCTCGCGTTACGTGAACCGAGCATTAAGTTATATAGGACATACGTGGTACGGGGCTGTAGAAATATACGTAACCGACGTAATGTAACATCGGTTAAGGTTAGATTAGAATTTTGTCACCCTCGTCGCTGATATTTTTTTTATGTGTCCCCTATCGCGAAAATCACGTCCGATACGTGCTCGACGTACAAAATACACATTTTCATGGAAATGAAGAATCGCCCTTGCATTTCTCCTATTTTGCCTGTGTACAGATAGTCTGCGACCATTGTGAAACGTCTCTAAGATATATATTTCCAATGGTATGTATCTGAACGTGCTTTGGTATCTCCAAAGTTCTATATACTTACAGCTATGTTGTACGTATATATTTTGGTCTGACATAGGTGCGGACTAATTTTACATACCTATAAGGTACGTCCATGCGTACGTTTACTTGAGGAAGTACCACTGTAGTTCTTATATAAACGGCACAGTGAATAACAGGGGAAAATGTATGCAGTCTCAGACACCTTTCCGCTAGTACTTTTTTTTTTTAATCTTTTTACGAATAAACAGTATAATGCAATTCTCAAAAATATTTGCTACGTATCATCGTTGAGCCTAGCTGAGAGGCAAAAGTGCATACACTTCTTAACTTTCATACCCTGCTTTGTTTTAATATTGTTGTAAAAAGTTAAAACATTAATTCGAACTGTCTTCATTTGCGGTAGTTAATATTAATGTGAAATTATTGTTTTATAAAAAATTTTTTCAATTGTTATCGTTCAAACGTCGAAATACCTGACGGCAAATTAACATGGCAAGTATATCTGCATCTTGCAATTTACAGTATATTTACTGCATGTATATCAAAAGCGGGACGGATAATCTTTTAGAAACTTTAGACGCACAAATATTATGTACTTGGCAAGAGTATATGAAAATTTGAAATCGGTTAGTTGGATTTGGTTTCGATAGTCGTAAGTCTCGGTATTCCGACGGGCCACAGTTGCCAGTAGAATTAGGTTAAACTCGACTGTGTATAATATTATGCGAGAACGGAGCTAGCTGCTATTGGTCGAGGCTCGAAGGAGTTTGAAATTGGAATGAAGCTTGATTAGGTTTCAAGTAACGCAAGTGGTAGAGAATGCATAGTGGTGCCAATAAAGCAAACTGAATCCTGTCGTATATGTTCCTGATAGGAAGTACATGGCAGGCATTTTATTCGGTTGAATAATATCCACTGGTAATTCAGATGAAACGTACTTACTCGTAGAGGAAAAATATTATTCTATTAGTATATTACTTTGTAAGGTTATTTAATTAGTTGATACATTGGCGGTGGCGGTTTTCAACGGAATTTTGTGTTACACGAGACAGCCGCTAGGTGGCGCCACCCAATACGAATTTATAATACCGGCCGAAATGTAATTGCTTTATTTTTTTTCACGGTTTGCAATGCACTTCATCAAGTTCCTTGAGTAGTGGTTGGTCTGCTTGAATGAACCAAAAAAAAAAAAAAAGAGTAACAAAGAAGCTCCAACGGCTATTGGAAATCGCGTAGTACGCGATCACGCCGCAGAACAATAGTATCCAATTTTATCGTATTTCGGCTTTTAATCGGCTAGCTGCAATTCAACGTGCCGCATTGGGATTCGTCGTGGAAAAATTGTGCAGGTAAAATTACGAGAAAAATTCTAGCAAAATTCATATCTGAAAAATTCTATAGAAGCAAAAGTAGGATTTATTCGTAGAAGGTGGTAGAGAAGAATGGCGAGTTAACTGCAAAAATTCACTGGTGCCCCCCTAATGTAGGAACGAAGTCATTGTGCACATATAGTTAGAAGGGTACTTCGGTTTGAAACAAATTTTTCGTATTCTCGTTATGTCATTTCCTTGGAAATTGACTGTGAACGGACTTTTTACTTTGTTTTTGTACAAAAGCGTACACTATTGGAAATTTTAAGGACTTTGCTGTCACCTTGATTAAAAGTATCGACGCGGTTATAAGCATTGAGAAATTTATGCGATCGTCACTTGAACCATGTAATTCGCGACGTGCTCTAGAAATCCACGATATGATTTATTGCGTAATCGGAGCACGCCGGATGTTCAGTAGCTATCCAGAATAAGCGAGCCCTTTCGCATGATCGATAGGATGGGATTAACGTTACTTAGACTGAGAGGATAATCCTGCGAGAAGCCATTCTACGAATTAAACTTGGATGAACTTAAAGTCCGTTGAAGACGAAGCTATTGCTTTTGGATTTTAGGAAATCGCTATTTTTTGGAGATACAAAAAAAAATGTTTTTTTTTTTTTCTTCAATCTAAACCTCACTGCATGAGCGTTCGACATCCTTGAATGTTTTCGCGAATGCCACGAAGGTGTCAGATTTTCAGGAAATTTTACAATATTGCGAACTTTGCGAAAGTAACAAATCCCATTCTCGAGGGACGTGATAATCTACAGTATCAGGAGATGCTGCGTCGAGGGGTAAAGGGCGGGTAAGAAATTTTTGTGAAAAGCCTGCCGTCGATCGATCGTCCTCGGCAACTCCCGTTGCAAATGAAAAATCACGGAATTCAATGGTGATATTTATGAGAACATTTGGTCCTCGTCTGGTTTCTTATTGTTCGACCGACAATCCAGCACGAGAAATTTCTAATAATCGTGAATGATTATAAAGATCGTGAAATAAGATTTCCAATAAATGAATTTCATCCCCGATAATTCGATCTGCAGTACGTTATGCCATTAAAAATTCCCATTTAATAATCTTGGTAGGAAAGGAAATTATTTAAAGTGTACAGTCAAGTTGAGAAACAGACGACGAATGCAGTATTCGAAATGTTAAATGGAAATTTAGTTTCTCTGCATGTTGAAGGTAATCAAGTTACAACGCTTAATGCAAGGAACACACACTGTCTCTTGTCTCTTTGCGGAACGTTACTTCACGTGAAAATCTTATCAGCAGTAATGCAGCAGCGTTTACGGAGTCAAAGAAACTTCGTAGACTGATGGCATAGTGGGACGGATCCACGCTCTCGTGGATTCTCATTGCAATTCGGAGAAAGAGGAAGAAGGCGGAAAAAAAGAAGAGAATAGGGGCGAAGAAAGTGGGAGAAGAAAGAAGATGTCCTTTGTCCTTGCGCGTGGCGAAAATCTCTTTTCTTATTTGTCTTTCTCTGTCTCTCTCTCTCTCCCTCTCTGTCTTTTTTTAGAGAGATATATCTTCCCCCACCGAAAAGTTATAAATCTAACGTATAGGCAAAACATATTTTTGTCAATATAATAATTTTTCTTTTTTTCCCGTACGTTTCATATATACGAAAAATATGTATAACAAACGCGAAGAATATATTTCGTGTATAGCAGAGATACATAAAAAATGGTAAGACTGCAAAATGTTATATATTGATAATATACTTTGCTTTTTACACATCGATCATACATTTTCCATGTCTCCAAATATACGAGAATCATTTTGAGAATCACGCGCATGGTTTCTCAACGTCAATGTTTCTAATCTATTGATCTGTTCCACGGGGTTCGCACCTACTGATTCCCCTTGGTTCCTCGCATGTTTCCGAAATCACCCTCGTTCTTCGGTACAGGGTGGTACA